AATATTCCTGAGACAGTCACAGCCCACAGGAGCAAAACAAAGGCTTAGTTTATAGATGAGAAAGCTGTGAATGATGGGAACATAACAAGGGGAAATCAGTGTGACCTTCATCCTGAATCTTCACTTCAATCCAAATGGAGCCATCTTTTTGTGTGGAAAGATGTAATCCTCACAGAGCCAAGTTACATGGCTTAGGATGCACATCAGAAACTCTGGAACAAGAACTTCAGGGGCTTGGACCCGCTCCATTTCACTTGTTCTCAAGTGACAAGAATTATGTCAGTCTTAGGTGATTGTTTCAGAATGCATTTTGGAGAACAGAAGATCAGGTACCACTGACCAAAAAGGCAACATTCGGAATAGTCATGGGGGAAAGGTAGAGGACTCTTATTCTTCCAAACTTCAGAGTAAAATCTCCCAGTCTGACCTTATATGCAGACATTAAAATATCAGCAAAAGATGAAGAGATATTCACTTTATAGAAAAACATTATAGGGATTCCACTAGCATATTGATGTAAGACGCACATATGCATACTGCCTATACGAAGTGAGAAAAAAAAAAAACAGCGAATAGCCAACAACCTATATGATTCAAAAGAAACTTGAGGTGCCTCAATTTTTAATCTTGTTTCCTTCATTAGCTTTTGATTTACAGTTATTCATGGTATCTGTTTATTAATTTATATTTTATCTCAGTTCCAAAAGGATATGAAGTGTTATTGTTATTATTACATCTCCTATTTAAAGGCCATGGATAATTGAAATGTACAATTTATCAAAACTGCCAAGTAAATGAAGGAGTATGGTGCTAGAGAACCAGAGTAGCAGGTTCTAATTGCAGTTTTTAACCAACTAGTCATTCAGCATCAGAGCACACAATGAATTGAAGCTTTCGCATATTCATTTGTAAAATGGTGTCAATCACCTAGACAATTGCTAATTCTGAAGCCCTATGTAGCTATACTTATAAAATTTGTTCCAACAGTGCATAATTCCTTAGAGTAAAGGTGAGCATCCTTGTTATGGGATTTCTAAGAAGCATCTAGACTCTACTCCTGTGAGCACTACCTGCTACTTAACCTGCTAGTTATACCTACCATACTTGTTCAGAGATGGAGCATGAATGCAATAGCATCCAAAATGTAAGCAACCAACAATGTTACTGTTAACTAGGACTAAATGCTTGTCAAATCACTGAAATACATTTAGAAGTACTAAAGGGCTCTAGAGGGGATGGGGAAAACTCTTGAACAAGGTAATGTCAAGGTCCATGTGGATTCTATGGATATAGCTCTTCACAATTCTACATGCTGTTTCAGTCAACAAATTTCTTCTCTTAGACTTTTGCGCTAGTGATTTCTAGAAAGTATAATAAAAGACAACACCCAATTAATAATTTGTTAGAACTGAGACTGGGCCAGTCACTTAGTCACTAGAGAATCTAGTAGAAAATTCATAGTAGAAATAATTCAGATAAATGGGGTTTGGATTATGTTATTGCTCCTTGATTTAAAGCTTAGCTTGTAAATTAAATATAAACATACAATACATGTATAATTAGTTTATAAGACATGGAGTTGCAAACTTTTTTAAGTTGGAAATATTTTCATTTAATGGATAATTGGAAGTTACCTGCTGTACATTTGTGTATAACACTACCTTAAAGATTCAGAGAAGCTTTACAGAGAGGTAGCATTTAAGATTTGACAGAAATAGTACATGGGAGCTTACAAGATAAACAGAGATAAAGGAGAGAGTCAGAAAAAGTAAGCAAGATTTTAATACAAGGCCATTAACATTTCAAAGAAATTACCAAGTGGCAGATGGCTCTTGGTGGCTGTGGGTAGGTTATGCAACCATGAAAGGTGATCAGCAACAAAACTACATTGCAAGAGGTCATGCTCAGTGTCTGGCATCTTTCATGTCTAAGCATCCTTTATAATGAGCTGAGGGAACAGAAGAGCCATTGCTCTTTGTACACCCCTCCCTATGTTGCCATAAGCAGGAACTTGAGGTGTAACCACAACATATCAAGGTCACACCCCTGGAAGAGCCATGGATATGTATTGGCAAGCCAATTTCATCCTGAGGCACTACATGACCACCTCTGTTGTGAGAACACTAACAGTGAAACAACAAGGGAAGACACAGAACTGGGTCTGTTATGCATTTATCTAACTCATCTACTAGAATAAAACCAAGAGATGTTTCCATATGTAAAAGAAAGTATTAGAAAGACAATCACCTTGCCTAAGTTGCTCCAATTCAGAAGCTATGTATGATGGTTGATCTCTGTCACCTTATTTAACTGAGGAAGCAAGACCCACTCTGACTGTGGGTGGTACCACCCAATAACTGGGGTGCAGACATGAATGAAAATAACAAAGGAGAGAACAAATTTCATGCATTCAGCAACCTCTGCTTCCTAAGTATAAATTCACTGTGACCACCTGCCTGGTACTCTAGTCAGTGGCTTTGTTACAGAAATAAGAAAGATGAACGCTAGCTCCTGTCATCATTTTCTATACTTTACTAATGAAATGGATGTGTGAGCCTAGATGTTTAGCCCTTTCTGGGCTTTGGTTTACATTTGCAAAATAAACTCCAGGAAAGTTTTATGAATAGCTTATTCTATGAACAGTATCTCATAAATTGTGCAGAAAATGGTCCCTAATTCTTGAACCAGCAAGAGTTTACATCCTGGCTTTGACGCCTCATCAATATGTGATTTGGATGTGCTACTAAACTTCTCTGTCCCGACTCCTCATCTTTTGAAAAATAGAATATTAAAACATGACTAGCTAACATTAAAAAAGTAAGGACCAATAAAGGAGTAAGGGCTGAACTCATTCAGTACAGTTTACTTATGTCAGTGACTGATATGTAGTCCTACTGAATAGACATTATTTTCTGTTCCCATCTCTCTCTCACACACACAAAAAAAATCAGTTTCAAAGACAGAGGGGTTGAAGAGATGCTCCAGTGGTTAAGGGAGTACTGCAGTGGACCTGAGTTGGGTTTCCAACATCCGTGTCCAGTGGCTCACAGCTGCCTGTACCTACAGTTCTAAGAAATTGACCATTCTGTGTTAGTCGTCCATGTAATCCACACACATGTGCATGTGCATACACACATATGTGCATACACACATATATGCACACAAAAATAAATCATTTAAATATAGAAATAAAATCTATTTTGAAAAGAAGAGCATTTGAGTTGGTTCTCCTTGGATTCAACATGACTATTTTGATCAGATGATCCAACAAAAGAAACAGAAGAAAAACCAACTTTACTCCCTGAAAAACCTCATAAGAGAAAGGTGAGAACAAGTTCCAGAGGCAGGGATACCATGAGTCTCAGCCTTTTGAAGCCCACAGCACTTGCTTATAAATAGAATATTAAAACAAGCAAGAGCAATTTTCTCCTTTCGTCTTCCCTTATTGCCTAATTTTCCTCTCATACCATTTGCATAATGGATAAAAAGGCATCCATTATGCAAATGAATGATGGGGCTGCAAGGTTGCTGAAGCCACAAGCCTGGCTCCAGAAGAGAAGCATCCGCCAACCAGCCCTTTGCCATCTATGTTCTAGCAGACTGCTTTGTTAGCTTAATTCCAAAATATGCAGAAAAATTAGAAATAGGTCATTAATTCCCATTTCGTTTGTTTTAAAAGGGATACTACAGATGCTTTTCAAGAAATTTGAGACAAAACAGGGTTATTTGGATTGCTCATATATAGAATAAATTCAACAGTAATTTTATTTTATTTTGAGACAGCATCTCACTATGTAGCTTTGGTTGTCCTGGAACTCACTATGTAGACCAGATTGGCCTTGATCTGTGATCTTCCTGCCTCTGCCTCCTGAGTCCTAAGATTAAAAGGCATGTACCATCATGGTGGGTAATAGTAAATACTGAATTTCAAGTGAGGGCAAAAGTTGCTATGTATAATTTTTAAAATTTAAATGTTTCCATTGAGAGAGAGAGAGAGAGAGAGAGAGAGAGAGAGAGAGAGAGAGAGAGTATTCGTGCATGCATTCCAAGTTTTGACTATGGAAGTCATTGGGCAACTAAAGGAGTTGGTTCTCTCTTCTCCTTCTACCTTGTGGTTTTCAGGGATAGACCTATGGTCATCATGATTGACAGCAAGTGTCTTAATCGGCCTAACCTTCTTACCAGCCAAGCTATCACAATTTTAAGTGCATGTTCTTCTTTAAGAAAAAGCATATTCTTTTTGAGAAGTAGGGATTGTGTCTATCCATCTGCCTGAGAATTAAGTCTAATTAAATTCTACCTAGTACAAGAACAGTCCCATAATATTGTGTTTACAATTGACTCAAATAACATTGATTTTAAATGTTAGTGGGAGGTCAAAAATAACACACTGACCTAAACTTATCTCCAAGAAGTATCAACAAAAACAGCTATGTTAGGAGTAGTACATGACAGAAACTTTAGAAGAATGTTTATTTTCACTTTCTCCACCTTTAAAATTAATATTAAGACAAAGAATTCTGAGCAAAACCACGAGGTAAACTGCTCTTTTTTGAATGTATGTATGTATGTATGTATGTATGTATGTATGTATGTATGTATGTATGAGAAAGGGAACCTTATATCTAGTGTGGATTCCTTGGTAACCCTTAGCTTTTCCCAAGCTATGACCTTAACAACAACAGTGGTGATTCTAGAATACAAGCAAATCTTATCACTCACAGTATTGACTCCCTGTGTGATTCTTCAAGGACAAGCAACTAGGAGTCACTCTGAGTTCAAGAAAACAAAAACAAAAACAAAAACAAAAACAAAAACAAAAAACCTTGCAGTCTCCTTCCCTGAGCACAAGCAGCAGTGGAGAGCCATAGAAAAGTAACTCAAGGGAGAGGACAAACCAGCTGTTTTTATAAAGAACAATACTAATATAATATCCTTCACAGAAAAGAAAGTTAGTAAATTGATGCAACTTGCATTCAAGTTGAGTAAAATCCACCTACCTAACTTCAGAGAAGAAGGGGTTACTATGATTTCCCCACTGATTGGTTTGAAGGCAGCCAGTTGAGCAGCCACTTCTGTCTCGAAAGCGTCTGGGCTCTGCCGATCCACAGGGTTTCCACTGGGGCTCTCAATCTTCTGGAGTGGCTCTTGTTCATCAAACACAGCAATGAGCTGCAAACGAGTCCAACAACACTAATTACTTTGTAGGACATGCTTATCACAGGGACACTGTGTCTAGTTGATTGTGATCTTTGCTTCATCTTAAAGCTAATGTCGCCTTAGAAAAATCTTAAATCTTATTATGCCAAGATGCTTAAGTCTTCAACAGTATAATCCCCGCAAGCACAGGCACAGAACATGATGAGGGGTTGGTTCTTGTTTGTCTTTTCCTGGAATAGTCATTTTAGGCAGCTCTTGTTAAAGGAATGAAATGGCTGCCTGTTACATTCTCTCTTCATGAATATGTCTCATCGAGTGCCTGTCTGTCTGTCAATCTCTGTGTGTCTCTCCTGCAAAGGATTGAATGTATACCTTCACATATGCTAGGCAAGTGTTCTACCAGTGAACTATACACACAGCTTCACTCATAACGTTTTCTAATATGCCTAAAAGTTATCCACTCCTAGGGTGCAAAATGAGAGCCCAATATACAAATTATGAAAAAGAGAATACATTATATAGAAGTGTGCATTCTAGTCACAAAGGGGTATAGCATTTCCTCATGACATGTATTTCTAGACACAATCTAAATCCACGCATACTTGCAAACATAAGAATATTAATAGCTACAAATCATGTATACACAAGTGTCCCATCTTTTATATGACTTTCATGTAATCTTTACTTCTTAATGGTTTTATGGACACTAAATACACTCATTAAATATATTTGCATATCTTGAATATAAAAAACTGAAATGTTATTTTCCAGTCATTTTTCATGAAAAAGTTGATATGTTCTACTAATCACATGACACTATTGCACTATGGGACCATGAAGGCAGACCAGCTATGTGACTGTAGTTTTGGCTAGGAGGCTGCACTCCAATAGAGGAATATCAAATCTGCCTCATTGGCTAAGGTAAAAATGGCCAAATGTGAATTCAGGGGGCAGCTCATGGATGCTACTATCAATCCAAAGAAGTACAGTGTAACTAATTTTGAAAACTGCCAGTAACTCTTTGAATAGTTTTCATTCATTAAATAAAGCAAGTTTACTTCTGAGTCAGACATATCCATAGAGACACTGAAAGCCCATTCATAGGCCAACCTTGTTGGCAATAGTATTAATAACACAAATGCAAGGGTAACCAATCAAAACACTGTAAATTCCAATGTAATCTTTCAAAGGAAATGAACACAATTAAGGATATGTAAATGGGCTATTCACAAATAATTTTCATAATTGACTACTCATTTCCAGTATGGAGACTTCTTTAATTGGAAAACCCAACAATCCATTCACTACAGAATAGAAATGCTTACTCCCAAGGCATTATTTTTAATTCTTGAAATTGAGCACATGAATTTTCTATCTTTAATTGCTAGCACTGGTGAACTGACTGGAGATAAGACTTAAATAGATTAATAAAGAAAGATTATTCTACTATAAAAATAATCAGCAAAACTGGATCTTTCTAATCATCTGGCTAAAATAAAAGGTTTTACACTTTCAATCTTGACATGGAAAATAAAATCAATTTTAAAATGTGCTTGAATTATTTTCTTCATTGTTTCTATTCCATAATTATCACAATTATGATTTCAACTTTGCTTATTGTGAATTCACATACATTCTAAATGTTCATTCTGATATACCCATCAACTAGGTAGTGGCATATTGAATTGGTACTGTGAACAGTTTTGTATAGAAGTGGTATCTTGCTTTTACTTCCTCCATCCTTAACTCTCAGTATCATCTATACACTTTACATATTGGAGTGAGAAAATAACATCAGTTAGAAATATAATACAAAAGTTTAAAATTGATAATTCATAAGTTAAATCAATAGATATACTTAGTCTATGAAAACTTTACTATTGGCTATAGGTTGTACCTACAAAACCTTACAGAATGTACAGTAACAATATTATACCCACACATCTAAGGAGAGAACACAGTTGTTTGGAGATTCTGTTTCCCACAGTGATGTACCAAATGGCATCTGGTGGTGGAATCAATTGTCTTCTTTTGTTTTCAGTCCAGAACTTTAGCACACACAATAACATATCCTCAAAGAGAAAACTATGAAGAGATGATACATTAACGAATAGCTCTAGTTTGGTCATGGGTAACTTATATTTAAATAAAAGTGAATTCCATTATTTGGAAATGAAGTATTATTCCATGGCTGTTTTGTAGATGATAATTAAGGGACCTGAATGATTTCCACATGGAATGGTTTCCTCAATTAATTAATCCCATACTCTGTTACCCAGTCTCATGGTTTATGGGGTTTATCACAGCAGAATTTCATCTGGATCAATGGATGAAACAAAGTCTACTACAAAGAACTAACCCAGATCCTCACTCTCTGATACCCCAAATCTCCCCAGCCTCATAAGGATGACTGATGAGGGCTTCTACCAGCTGCTCTCTATCTCAAGAGCCACCATGTCCACACACTCACACTTGCTTCCAAACTGGTAAGTCATTTAAGTCACACTCTGGAGGTCCTTGTTAACTAAATCATTTGATTCATCAAGACAGTTACATTACCAGGTATGAGAATTACAGGGAAACTGTCTTACAGAGGTTCAGTGATGCTTTGTTCTTTCACAGCATCTAGCACATGGGAGAGGCTTTCTGCATCCTTCTCTTAAAGCATACAGAGTTACCTCTTCCTAGAGAGGTGAGGAAGGCATGAAGGAAAGAATTATATTTAAAATTCTTACATTAAAATTTTCACATTGGTACTTTAGAAGCTACTATAACCCAAACTATGCAAAATGCATATGGGAAATATCTGACGTGATGCCTTCCCTCTACTTAGTTGATCTGCTGGAATGCCTTCTGTTCGCCTTCTGTAATACCATTGTTCTCATGTTACCAAGTGTAGCCATGACATTTCCAAACTGCAATAAATCCACAGGATCTGTTCACATGGCTTGATTACAACCTCAGCTTCTGTCCTCACAGATTTCTGTATTTAGTCATTTAATTTCCAGATAGACTTAGGTCAGTGCACAGAAAGGCTACTAATTTGTCTATCTCCCCACCCCCAAAGTCTTCTCTGGACCCATGCAAGAAAACAGGAACTATGCCATTTCTTGACTGTCTATAAGGCAAACTTTGAGGACTCTGAACAGGCCCAGACTCATTGAATCTACTCTTGTCTAGGTCAAAAGCACCTCCTGGAGGCTGAAGCTAAATGCCACTCCTCTCCTTGATTTTAGGACACCACTGGCCACTTTGTAATCCTTGGTGTATTCTTCTCATGTACTTTCCAGCGAACACAATACTGTTTACGTTTCCCCTTCAACTTGTCCCTCCATTTATCCCTCTTTATTACCGATCTCTGAAAATGCTAAGGGACCTATGTCAACATTCAGTTACGACTTCACCTGTTTCATGCTTGATTACAAGTACAGGCAAATAAATTCTACATTTATCAGACTTTCTGAACAAGCTTCAGGATTATGTGATCAACTGGCAATTCCTGCCCAAACTGTACAACGCACCATTCAAAATTCTTTCTATATTTCTTTCTATTAAAATTAAAGGCAATTTTCCACCTTTATTCCTTTCCAACAGCCATACATGTTCAATTTCTCAACAAAATCTGAAAGTTTTGCCAGGTTTTGACCAGTTCTCACCACCTTAGCTGTCACCAATTTGGATCTAGTTCCCAGGTGATTGCTACAGCAGCCTTCTTGCTGTTCTGTTTCTACCTAGGCATCTTCCCTTCAGTGGATTGAGTACTCAACTCAGCATTAATGACAATCTTGAAAAACTCTGAGATTATGCCTGTCCTATACTTGTGTTCATGTGCTGATAATACTTTCTCTCCTCACATGGGGAATATCCCACACTCTTGCTGTGGCCACTGAGGTTATACTGCTGACCACATGTTTGAGTTGCTTTCTAGCTAGTCCTCAGGACTCTAGGAAGCTAGACTTGTATCTTCATACCTATCTCAGTGGCTGTTCCATGCTATCTTCCTGGGAAAGTTACCCACTGAATCTTATGAACCTGACTACAAAGTCTCTGCATATCTACTAAAATGCCAGGCTTTTGCTGGCCACACTATATTTCAGCATTCCTACTATTCCCCATAGTCTGCCCTTTTTTACTTCCTCAGAGTTTTCAGCACATGCTTAGTGCTTTATATTCTCTCATCTCTCTCATTTCATGACTGTCTATCCTCACTTCATCAGAATCAAAACTTCAAGAGGACATTGCTTTCTTTCTGTTTTGGATGAATTTACCTCCATGAGTTAGAACAATAAATATAACATAAATACATATTTGCTGAATAAAAAGGAGTGAATGATAAGGTAAATATATGCTAAAATTTAATACATAAATTTTAGTTCATATATTCAAATTCAAAATTTAAAGATATTTTTAATTCCTTATACAATGTAGGGGGGAACACATGTGTGCATATGTGCTATGTGGCTTTTGTGGGCATATATATGTACTATGTGGCTTTTGTGGAGACCAAAGGACAGCTTTGTGGAATCAATTCTCTCCTTTCATCTTTTACGTAGGTTCTATGAGCTGAATTCAGATCAGCAAGTTTGCAAGGCACAGTCCTTTTTACCTTTTGTACACTAACCCACTTTTCTGTGCCTTAAAAATATTTTAAACAAATGCATGTGCATCTTCTTATTTCTCAACTTATAAATGTATATATGGAGAGAAAGTGAGGAAATCGTGCACAGCATGGAAAGTAAGGTGGGCAGCATTAGCAGTTTGGTCCTAGGTACTCCCTCAAGAAATTTCTCCTAAGATGCCATTCCATGTGGAGGCATGCTGTATATCCTGGAAGTGGCTGAAGAACAAATGTGAACACATCTGGGCAAGCAGAGACACATGCTTAAATAGCATGGCATCATCACAAAATAAAGGGCCAGCTTTGATCTATGAAATCATGGACTCATACACTCTGTCTCCTTTGTCAAAGTGCTGTTTACTGCAGCGCTTCTAAGTCTTCTTTCACTGGCAGT